CAGACATGCACCTCTTTATGAAAATATATGCCAATTTTACACATCAGTGTCATATCAAGTCACGATGGCAATCTTACTCGGGTGGACCTAGTTGGAGGGGCACTAATGAGAGGGGCACTAAGGGTGCACAAATGATCTGCACTGCCGTTCACACTATGAATGGATTCAGTTATGGTAAGGTTAAAAAAGCATTCTGCAAATAAACAAATCACAATTATTAACCATTTTAGCTATCATTAGTTATCATTTATGTAAGGATTAGCATGCTTCTCATAGCTGGTGCTCACCGACCCCATTCATTGCATACGGACTTCATCAATGGCAGATGATATCAGCTGTTTGAGTGACATGTAATGTGACCATGTCTCTATTGATGCCTTTGTGCTGCCAGGTAAAGACTGCGCTCAGCCGCTGCCCGACGACTTCGAACCACCCGCCTACACGTCGGTCTGTGATGTCATAACAGCAAAGGATGGACCCTTGGCTGACTGCGTAGACCGAGTAGATTCCAAGCAGTACCGCGACGACTGCGTCTATGACATGGTGCTTAATGATGGCCAAAAGGAAGCAGCCTGCGGCATCATCAGTGACTACGTGGCGCAGTGTCAGAGAAACGGAGGCTGCGTGAAGTCATGGCGGACGAGGAAGTTCTGCTGTAAGCGCTCAGTGACAGATGATGTGACTGTTCTTGTATTTGTGTGTTTGTGATCTGAGTGCTATTCTGTGTGTGTGTGTGTCACAGGGATGAAGTGTCCAGCTAAAATGATGTATAGTGTCGTGGCTCCTGGATGTCCGGCCAGCTGCCTCGCTCCATCTCCATCCGCCAATTGTGAGATCCCGCCCAGCGAGGGCTGCGTGTGTAACCCCGGTTTCCTGCTGAGTCAGGTAATCCTCCAAACTGCCCCGGCCTTCTTCAATTACAGCGACACATGACTTTCACCAAAGAAGGAAAGGCCAAGTTCTCTTCTGGCAAAAGAAGTTTAAAAACCTTAAATCAGATCGCTGTTTCATGGATGAAATGCTAAAAGTCACAGTAGCCCCGCCCTAAAACATCCCCTGCTTTATGGTCTATTTGACTCTAAATGAACCATAGTTTAAGAAATGAACATCATGCTGTATTGAAGAAGACTTGAAACTAGAGATTGAGACCATAAACTCATGTTTACAATGTTTCAGTGAATTAAAAACAGAAGTGCATAAGTGGATAGTGACTCGACCCGGGGAACTGGGGAATAGTGACATTTAGGACATTTTGGGGCAAGATTAAGATATATCTTGGCTAATTTATCATGTACTATTTTGAACCGAATTACTCCGTGTGTACAATACAGAAAAAAGAGGTGCGAATACACAAAGTTGTATCTTCCAAAACTTCTCCCAGAATAGTTTCTCCAATATCCATTCCTCAGATAGCTTTAGTTTGATCCCATGTATACCAGATCCTTTTTTGAATTACATCATGTGTTTTGGATATTGCACCCTTACTATAAGGGTCAACACTCAACATAGAGAACTGAGTACGTTAAGTCTTTTGGGAGACGGTTGGGACAGCATGTAAAAGAAATGTACAGGTAAAGCTGTGGACTTAAAATAATGAGACTTTTGGCAAACTGTGGTCCTGGCACAGAGATGCGAAACTGTTTCAACAAAGATTCGGCGACTAAATTAGAGTTTAAAGTCTGGGTTTTGATATTCCACGGCGGTCAAAAAGGAAATTGGAGTTTAACTTCATATTTGCCAATACCTAGGCCTGGCAATGTAGGCTGCCCGATAGTTGCAGTCAGAAGGGCCTTGTAACACAGTGACAGTGTCCTGACTGAACTTTGACCTTCCAGGATCGCTGCGTGCCACTGCCTCGGTGTGGCTGCAAATACAACGGTCGGTACATCGTGTCTGGTGAGAATTTCTACCCTGACTCCGACTGCCAGCGCCTGTGTTTGTGCCGCGGTGGGATGGTGGCCTGTGAGGACAAACCCTGCACAGGAAAGAAAAGCTGTGGAGTGCGGAAGGGAGTGAAGGGTTGCTACGCCGCATCTGACTTAAGCATCTGACTTAAGCATTGAACGGGAACCAATGTAGAACTTCATCTTCTCTTCATCTAAGAATATATCCAGCAATGTTGTGTTTATACTGTAAGCTATCTTTATAATTCTAACAGCTATATTCAGGCACACAAGCTACAGATAATCTAGTTCTTTTGGCAAAATTCTTCTATCTATATTCTTCACAGGCCATTTCATATCTCGCTCACAATATAACATGTTTTCTGCAGTAATTCAATAAACAGTCTAAATGAAATAACCGCCTGCTAAAGCCTATTTTTAAAGTGCAATCAAATACTCGGCCAGCACTTGTGCTTCAAATTCATACAGAGTATTTTTAAATTGTTGTTCCTAAAACAGTTTTGACAAAAACTGAACATTCATGTAGGAGTGTACAGTATGCAACAGTGATTTTTGTAACTGTGGATGATTACAGTATGTAATGTTTGTAAGTCACTACTAACACATTTCAGTCTTTACTAATCAATTCTTTTCTAATGATCATTAAACGCATGTCAGCAACTTCCCCGTCTGTTGTGTCTGTCATTGACCCACATGCATATTGACCATTACGTTGCATCATTTCTACTCTATTCTAAAAATGATACACTGAGATACTGACCACTGAGCAGATCCACTGTTATGATGAAGACACTTGCAGTGCTGGACCTGAGTACGACAAGTTACACGCTACTTTATACTTGTGCTTTACTACATTTTAGAGGGAAATGTACTTGCCACTGCTATATTTGACATGATGCATTTTTAAAATCTAATAAAGGCCGTATACATTTATTCCACATTAAAGCGGACAAGTCATGAGAACTCAATTATTCCCATTAGGCTAGCAGAGAAATGTATTTTCTCATTATTTCATGGATTTCCTCATCTTTTGAGACAAGATTCCTGCTGTATTTTCAGTGTCAAACTATGTTTTGTAGTAGATACAATAATGTTAGTCTGTGCTGGAGATTGGAACTCAATTCTAAACTACTCTCTAGATACGACAAGTACAAAAAGACATAAATCCCATCGGTCAAAAGACCTCAATATTTGAATTAAAGAGACGGGTATGTTCGACGTTTGGAGGAACCTCCACGCACTAGAAAAAGACTTTACTCACTACTCAGCTACTCATTAAGTGCGCTCCAGATTAGACTACTTCCTAATGAACACTACAGGCAGACACAGGGTGAAGGACTGCTCAATAGGATCAGCAGATGTATCTTATGCAGTCACTCATTTCTTTCTTAATCTCCTGTACAACAGTCTCATTATTTAAAATACTAATATTTAGTCTCCATAATGTACTCTTCGGTCTGTTATTCAAGTAAATAGTCACTGAACAGTTTAGTTTTCAACAGTAGCATGTCTCTCTCAAAGCCCTCCTCATTGATGTGGCCTCCTGTCTCCACAGCTTGTTGAGCACAGAGCGCCGCCTCATCTAGAGCGTCGTACTGCAGGTAAACAGTGGCCAAGCCTTGACACAGGTCCCTCTGGGTCTTCATGTCCTCCCCTTGCTCTGCTGTAATCAGGGCCTGCTGAAGGTAAGTCACAATCTGGGCAGGGAGCAGGGAGGTTCCTTCCTTCCAGCACGGGTTCAGGCAAACAGAGTTCCTGATAAACAACTCAATCCTCTGGAAAGAGTCGTGGAGGGAGTGGTCCTGTCTTGAGTCCAGGCTCACAGAGGCAGGCGCTAAGTAAGGCATGTATTTACGATGATAGAGCCAGCTCAAGAGCCAGTTGAGGTCCAAAGGAACAATGGGAAGCAGGAAGGGGCTTGAGACGAGGTACTTATATGCTGCTTCAGGTAGACAGCGGTGAGGTTTGTGTAGAATGACGAGGAGCAGCGTGTCAGAGAAACTGTCCACACGAACACTGAGAGCCTCCTCATAGTACACACGGGCCTGAGGAAATATATATAAATATACAGATGATAATGTTCTGTATATTGTGGGTCTCTTTAAGGAGAAATAAAGCATATTGATATATCCATAACACACATATCAATGCTAGAAAAGAAGCACAAACCTGGGAGAAATTTAGTTTTTAGCTTGCATCAACCCAAAGGTTTTTTTCGACACATTAAAAGAGAAGTAACAAGCAAATACGAATAAGAATCACATCATATGATGATGGTGCTAGGGAAACTATTGTAATTGTGCACACGGGTACATTGTTAATTTATTCACTTCTGACTAATCCCATGCCTCATCATGCAATGAAGCAACACAGACTGTTTACTTCCTCTTTTTGCATTTTTACCATCAAGTTTAGATGGTTTATAGAACTGAACATGTGAACCTACATTTCTTGACGTTTGCTTTTATTAGCTGCCAGAGACATAAAATAGAAAACAAGACAGAGCGCCTGCTATCTGTTACTTTGCTTCCGTGCTTGGCCCTGTAACAAATGAATGAGTGAATAAACTGGGACTCTGCAGACCTTGAAGTGTTGATGGTTGAGCAGGGTCAGTGAACTCGGAGTCCTCCCCCTCCCAGCTGTTCTCCTCCAAGAAGAGAGGTGGGTCTTCCTGAAACTCGTCCATCTCGCTGAATGTGTCTTCCAGAGTGAAGGACAGGTAAATTATGCTTAGTATTTAATAAGATTGAACCAAACGTCTCTTTAGTTTTTAATTGTTATTATTTATTGCTTCATGAACTACACATGCTCACTCTTCCATGATGTGAAAATAACAAGTAAATACATGTGTACAACTAGGTTGCAAATTAACCCTAAACACCAACTATCAGATTAAATAATCAGCATTAAATACATCTGTATCAATAACCTAGATAATTAACAAAGGCACAGAAAAATATGACAAAATATATGGTTTAAATACACTTATACTGCCATCTAGTGGTAGAAAGGGTGAACACTTACTTTTACAGTCTACGCTCAATCAAGTCAGGCACAAAAGAAAAAAGTCTAAAGAGGACAAAACTTCAGCCACACTTGTAGTTTACAGAACTTTATTGTGAGATCGACGCATCATCAAGACCGCCCTGCTGCTAACAAACGGTGGACAGTGGCAGCAGCTGTTCCATCTACAGGACGGTCGCTGTACCAGCTACTTCTTGCATATTAGTGAGCACAAAGGGAAATACAAAACAAATCTATGCCTTGACGCCTTTAACAGTTTATTAAGGTCACTTCCTATATACAGAAATTCTCACAGATTGGCCTGAACCTAAAATAAGATTAGAGGTTACTGTACATGTGAATACTGTGGTGTTATACAGACAGATTGAGGCCTTTGCCAAGTCAAACAACATCTTGGCACTGTGGCAACTGTCATGTTCAATTTTAATACCAGTGTCAGAAATGCCTCCTACAGAGCCTAAAATGTTGGATCAGGTATTGGCGTGTACGCAACACTATGCACCGATCAGATGACCCGTTATCAGCTCATTCAAGCTACAGGGAAACAACAACACATGTCAATCGCTACAGATGTGTGCATCCTTATCAGTACTGCACAAGTGCAAACCAGTACTTCACACCTTTGGTTAAACACTCTGGTGCGCTCTATGTTTTCTCTGATGATGCTACATTGTGAACAACAAATCTGTGTGTTGAACTCGGCAGGAGGAGAGCTAATACACGTCAGCTGATCGGAGGTTGCATTGAGTAACATCATGATGCGTTCAAGCTCTATTCAGAAAAAATGAGATTTGGGCAAATGTAATAAGGTAAGTATGATGTGTTCAAATTTAGTCTGGTAAAATGTAGTTTTTGACTAGAAACTTGAATAAAGACAGTTGTTTGAAGGAGATGTTTTCACAACAATATCAAATATGTATTTGAGAGGGAATTATGAGCTGTTTAACTTTTTGGGATATTTACGCACTGGTATCTGAGCAGTACTCGTATCGGCTGACACGTAGGTTCAGGTATCAGAATCGGGAAGCAAAAAATGGTATCGGTGCTTCTCTATTTTTTTTAAATCAATTTCTTTGGGTAAACAGTGAATAGACAAGGTCTCAGTTAGTTAGCACTACTGAGTGACAGCTCAGCACAACTGTCCTTAACATCTGAACACCAGAGGGCACGTTTGTTTCAAACCTCAGAGGAAAGGAGCAGTGAAGTGCTGCTCATGTTGGCTGGAGATGGGAGCCGTGTCAAGTCAAATCAAGAGGGCACCAGAGGGGTAACAGTAGTCAGTGTTTACCCAGTATTCAAGGTGCCTGGTTGCTAGGTTACCCGGAGGACAGGTCCCCTGCGGGGTCGCTCTCGTCGGAGCCCCTTCTTGCGCCAACGTCCTGTAAGCCGACCAGCGACATGTCCGGCTGGACCTCCTCTTCGTCCGACTGCACCAGAGGCTCATCGCTCTCCTCACTGGCCGCTTCCTCGTCCTTCTCCCACTCCGCGTCCTGGTTGGACGCTTGGCTGGTTGTGGGAGGGGCTCGGGTTGATTGGCTACTCGAAGATTCAGAGGAGCAGGACTCGAGGTCTGGACCTGTTGGAGAAGACAACTCTTAATTCACTGAGTAACTAAACCTCGACTCTCCTCGATAATACTAGTGGTATTAATACAACCCGAACAATATCCCCACAGCTGCATGAGTCGGGGTTACCTGAGGTCAGTGATGATCCTGTGCTGTGATGATCCTGTGCTCCACTAATGATGTCATCATCATTAGTGGAGTTGAGGAAGTCATCCAGAGCCTCCTGGTCCGATATGTTAGTTACTGTCATCTGATCCAGAACACGCACATCAGCTCCTGTTGGCTCTGCGCACAGACACACACACACACACACACACACACACACACACACACACACACACA